GGTCCCTCTGTGCCCAGCCCAGGCAGCTGGGGAGCCCTGCAGCCTTCCAGCGGTCCCTCTGTGCCCAGCCCAGGCAGCGCGGGAGCCCTGCAGCCTTCCAGCGGTCCCTCTGTGCCCAGCCCAGGCAGCGCGGGAGCCCTGCAGCCTTCCAGCGGTCTCTCAGTGCCCAGCCCAGGCAGCTGGGGAGCCCTGCAGCCTTCCAGCGGTCCCTCTGTGCCCAGCCCAGGCAGCTCGGGAGCCCTGCAGCCTTCCAGCGGTCCCTCGGTGCCCAGCCCAGGCTCTTGACCAGCGCTTCAGTTTAGATTCAGTCATTAGATTTGCAGTTAGTCTATCTGCACACTTCCCTCTGTGGTTCTTTCTCAGGGTCCCTTTCCCTCGCATTCTGGTTGCTCTGGCAGGCTGGATCCTAGCCCCTGCAGTGCAGGAACGTGCTGCTGTCTGTGGTTAAATGTCAGCTTCCCTGGGCCAGGGCTTGTGCTCGTTTTATTGCTGATTGCTTCAGCCGTTATCTAGTGCCCTCAAGCAGTTTTAAAAAATATTTAATCCAGAGTTTATGTTTATTATCAGCCGAGGGTTAGTCCAATGCACCCTGACTCTCCTTTATCAGAACCAGCACTTTTGGCTTAATCTGGCTCTGAAGTTTAAACTTTTAGGATGAAACCTGTCACTTCCAAGTTACCCAGACTTCGCTGCAAACCCCTAGGCTTTGATACCTCCGGAGCACTGGAGGACTCCACAGTGTCCTTGGTTTCTTCCTGATTCCTTCCTCGCAAGCTCAGTTTAACAAAGTAGCAAGTCAGTGCCGTGACAGCAGCTGGGGAGGAGGACCAGAGAGTGCAGCTGGATCAGGGAGGTGCCGTAGGTGGGGAGTGCCAACTGCAGAGGCGGGTGGTTTAGGTGTTCACGGATTCATTGCGATGTTTTTCTAACTAATATTCTTTTATTTTTCTTGTTTTTTAATACCTTGTTTAACCCTCACCGTGGTTTTTTAACCCTTGAATAGTTGAGGGTTGATTTAATGGTATATGAGAGTCCTGTGTCATTTGTGGCCTGTCTAAAACACAGGTGCCTGTGTCCACCATCACAGTGCCTGGTTAAGGCGTGGGGAATGCCTTTCTCCCTGCTCCATCGAGCCCTTCTGACTGCTTGTGTAGGGCTGTTTTCCTTAATGGACATTGATACTTAGCTAATTTACTAGGCTGTTTGGAAAGTTATTTCACCACCAAATATTGGCTCTGCATTAAACTGTGAAACTTCACTTTGTCATTTTCTAATATGCTTTAGGAACTCATGAAAAATGCATATGTGAATGTGGGCTTTTTAAACTTGCATACTGCAGTTGTGGTGGAAGGCCACCATCCCCGTGCTCCTAGACCGTAAGCTAGCCAAGGGCACTTCCAAACCTCCCAGGACCCTCTTGTCTGCCCAGGCTGCTGCCTTGGCCGTGTGCCAGTGCTTGGCTGTGGAGTCCACCCACCCTTCGAGCCCAGGTTTTGAAGACTGCAGCTCCAGTGAGGCCACCACGCCTGTCGCCGTGCAGCACATCCGGCCTGCTAGAGTGAAGAGGCGCAAGCAGTCGCCTGTTCCTGCCCTGCCTATCGTGGTGCAGCTCATGGAAATGGGATTTCCCAGAAGGAACATCGAGTTTGCACTGAAGTCTCTCACTGGTGCTTCCGGGAATGCATCTGGTTTGCCTGGTACTTGGTTTTCCTGGTCTCTGTTTGTGTACATGTGGGTTCCTGCT